GGGCCACAGTGATGTTATGCTACTGTGAGCACCATTAATGACTCTGTAAACTCCACTTCAAAATATCATGCTTTCCCATAAAATAAAGACGACCTAAAAAAAACAGATTTAAATCACCAGGCTTCCATCCTTGTGTCTATTACTGAAGCCACTGGAAACTCATTCTGTTCACTTATAGATGAGTGCAGCTGTAAATAATCAGTAATGCTGTTTTCATAGTTAGTCACTGACCACTGAACTGCAGATACTACTACATGAACCTATGCAGTTATGATACAGAGCAGATATAAATGGAAAGGCAGTTGAACTAAAGCATGAAGCATTCTTTTTCCATCCTCGTGATCTCAGCAGCCATCCAAAGAATTATAAAAGAAACTGTGCTGTATCAGTCTGTGGCATGACAATGTGTAGCGTTTAAGTTGGCTCTCATGTAAAATTAACCAAGAAAACCCTGAAACTGAAACAATGTCCATGTGATTCAGCATTTCCACATGGACGTCTACAGAATATTAGATGTGGTTGTTTTAGTTCATGAGCTTTACTTTTGTTGTATGATATCTATACCAGAGTAGAGAATAAGATGCACTGAGCCTTGCATTCTATCTACTTATTATTATACCTACTTACTGTTACTGTATTCTGAAAATCTAAATCTGAGGTTAGTGAGAAAAACTACTTACCTTCAGTAGAAGCAAAGTCTGAACTCACACAAGACCTTCAAAAGCACAAAAAGAAAAAGGTGATCAGTTCGAAGCATATGTATAACAATAAAAAAGGTGAGTAAATCAGACGGTGGCGAGTGGTTAGAGATAGGAAGGCTAGCGGCGTGCTGAGAAAAGCAGTAGTTTGTGGTATGCTGGAAATGTGACAGCTCGCGTTAGAATTGAAAAATGGAGAGAAAGCAGACCAAGCTAGAGAATTAGACAGCATTACATTAGTCTGCTCTGATCCATGGTCTCGGGACTTGATTACTGACAAAGGCCAATTCATGCGTCCTCACTGTGGTCACATGTGATGACCACTGCCAAGGCCCAATCAGAGGGACCTTTGGCCTTTAAGCTTCCTTGTTTGCTAATGTCGTTAGAATGAAAATCAAGGAGAGGGAGGGTGTTTAGGTCTGTATATGTGAGCATTATTCTCACTGGCCTGTTTCACTGTGATGATATTGATATGACTATGGTACCTGGGTAGAGACTAATATATATATTTGATTACAGGTCACACGAACATGACTAAAATCAACATTTTGTTGCATTCCAAATTAAACAAAGTTGTGATTTCTTTTAACATGCATGCGTTTCACACTCAGCCGTGCATTCTTGAATCCAGAGCAGTACCTATCAGTCTCATGGCGCTCAGCAGAAGTGATGGGCTGTGTCCTAAACCTCTCAGAGGTCTTTCTACTCTCCCCAGGATAGATATACTGCCGGGGCCTGCGCCCCCTGTCCCTTTCCCCTCTCCACGGGGCCTCGTAGCCCGTCAGTGCCCTGCACTCCTCCATTTCACTGGAGGGGGCCATTCAGGGAGAGGGATCAACAGACAGAAAACCCAAAGGAAAGAGAGAATACAGAGTTGTCAGGGAGAAATAGAGAGGGACATGGTGCAAAATAAAACTGTTTAAAAGCAGAGGTGTTGAACATTCAACCACACCTCTGGTTTTTAAAATCGAGCCTATGAGCAAGCCCATGCAGATTTTTTAATAGTTTAAACACACACACGAGCCCCAGGCAGTATCCAAACAACTCACAGTGCCATTAAAGTAGAGACAAACACCGTACTGCAGGAAGATTACTGTTAGGAAATTAATGCATGTATGCCATGTCTACAGATTAAATGAACCACTGTGCTTGGGATGTTAGCATCACACCAGACGTAGCTGCTTGTTAGTCGTTGAGTAGCCAGATGATGTTAGGTAATAAGCGTCAGAGTCACAGCAGCCAGCCAGCGAGAACAGGCCATGCAGCATTTTACCACCTACAGCTCATTCCTGCGGCTGGTTGGAGGAGTGGCGGTGCTCTCCATGTAGGAATGTCTGAGCTGTGCAACAGACACCCTGGTGTCCTGGTGACTCTCTCCATTACTCAAACTTTCTCCTTCTCTGACCTCCTGGGGTTCCTTGGTTTGGTGTTGCAAGGTCCTCTGATTGGGTCCTCGCTGATTTCCAGCATCAGACACGGATCGGCTCAGAGCTGTGGTGGAGCTGGAACTTCCTGGCCCTGTGTGAGATGTTCTGGGCTCAATGTGGGTCGCAGACGGTCTTTTGTGGGCACGATCAGCGTTTTCCCGCTCCCTGGGTCGGCGCTCTGCCGCCTGCAGACAGGAGGTATACTCTGCTTCCTCCCGTCTAGGTCTGCCTCCAAGTCCCCCTCTAACAGGTTCCTCTGCCTCAGCCTCTCTTTGCATCCTGTACACGACCAGCTCCTCCTCACCTCGCCCTCTCCATGGGTCTTCAGTGCTCCTCTCTCTGCGCCAGATCTGTGAAGGCAAGACTGCTTTTCTGCTCCTCAGAAGGCCCTCTGTCTTGACCGCCTCAGCCTCACCAGCTTCTTCCTCTTCCACCTGCTGTTGCTGCTGCCCAGTTCTGGATGTAGGACCAGAGGTCATGGACAAATAACTGGGGTAATTGCCAACTTCTTGCCCTCCCTGTGGACCGGACTGGCTGTGCTGAACTTGTGGATGATGGTGGGAGTAGGCCTGCTGTGGGCCTAGTGGGTCTGCGTGGTAGCGTGTAGAAGCCTGGGGCTGGTGCTGAAACTGTCTGCGGTACACTAGGCCTTCTGTAACATTTCCGAACTCTGGGCTCTTCTGGCGGCCCTCCTCCCTGACAAGCCTCTCCCTAACTCTGATTCTTCAGGGAGACAAAGGACTGGTTAACATTTGGAAAACATCAATAGGCAAAGCATAGCTCTCATAGAAGCTCAGAAAGATGACTTTGATTGTGATCCTTTGTGTGTCAGCCTTTGAGCTCTAAAGGAGGAGCTCAGCCTCTTGTTTGACATTAGGGCTGGACACTGACAAAGCATGCAGGGTCAAGACTTTATATTTGGATGTAAGACCAGTATAAATACTGGCTCAGATGTTTAGTCTTCCTGACTCAAATATTTCATAAAACCATAAACATACCATACAAGCCAGATTAAAACCAACATACATCTTTGCCTGATATGAACTGGTTTAGAATTATTTCCAGGCTCTCTCTCACACTGGCAATAATGGTTAAATTCTTACTAAGATCTGATTCTTGAAGAAAGTATTCAAAAACAAAACAAAACACCCACAACTCACAAATCCAGTCACCGACAGCATAATTGTTAAAAAGGCAATACTGTACTAGCATTTGTCATTGTTGATATAATATGATCCATCACACAGCTGTTACCAAATGGGGTTTAAGCTAAACACAGCAAAAGGTGAGTGAGAAATGAAGTTATGGTTGGAAGCCAAGGGGACTGGAGCTGGTGACAATGAGGATGAGGATGACTGTTCAGCAGACGTCCAAAGCTCAAAAGCAGAGATTATTAAACATTTGACTGCCGGTCAACTCAGGACCCTAAGTGAGTAAATGCAGCATCATCACAGAAATGTATAATAATACTAATATTTAAAAAACTGGAGCCCTGTAATGAGCTGTTGTTTAAAAAGCACAGCTCATAAGGGTTGGTCCAGATGAATGGGAACATGGTAGATGATAACTGGGGGTGAGAAACAACCAGCCTTGGTCTACCTTGAAGGCCAGTTGATGAGGGAGTGGGTGTCGCCTTCAGCATCAGTCTGGAGGAACCAATCAGTACTAAGTTTCGTCTTTGCACTGCACCAAGAGAAACCCAATGGGAAACGTGATTGAATGGGCAGTTGGGTCTGAATTCAGTGTTGAGGTCTTTTTCTTGAAGCATATAAGCCGAGACAAAACTATATTACACACTCCACTGACTTCACATTAAGACTGACTGAAGAGACACTGAGTTTAGCAATCAGCACAATCCCAAGAACACAAGTTTAACTCCCACACGATACATTTAATTGCCACAGCAAAAATATGAATAATAAGTCTCATATTTAAGGCTTGTTGAATTATGACCAATGGTCAGACAGTGCAGTTATATTACATCAGATCTTATTACATAGATAGCATCTATCTATAGATAGCATCAGTGTTATCAACGAATGAGTGTATCTGGAGAGAGGGCTCTTTAAATGTACGCCTCTGTAGCTGAGATTTTATCTGCAGAAGCAGATATTCAAGGGAAATGCCATCTCACTCCACCAGAGACAGATGAGTCATGCTGGCCCTCTGATGCTGAGTAAAGGTAAACAGTGTGAATTTTTCACTAAGCACAGATCAGAGTTCAGCAGAAGTGGAAAAAATGTTGATCAGTTATAAATACATTAAGAGATCAACTGAAGAATGAAGGGAGGAAACAAAAATCAGTTTGTGAAGCAAATCTCTTTTTTAGGGATACAAGAACCTGAATTTAAGACCTCACTACACAACACAAAGTCAACACAAACAGACCTGACGCAGGTCACGGGGTAGAAATGTTTTACTTGAGTAACTGGAGATTACAAATTACAGATAGTCTTCTGACTGGACCAATCAGTTGGCTCAACTATAGCAAGGCTCATGTCTCTGTGTGTAAACATTTCAACTCCTAAGCAAATCGATAGTTGCAACAGAATTAATTTTGACCAGCTGACTGAATATTTAGAAACCTTAGACAGTCTACTGAATAAACTTCTAGCTTCCAGTACTGACACTTGTGGTTCTGTAAGAATAATAAGATATCATCTGCGTATAAACGTATTGTGATTTATTGTAGATTATACACCTTTGATGAGGCTATTCTGTTGGACTGCTGCAGCGAGCGCCATTTGTGAAGCAAAGATGTTAAAATCCTTAAGATATCCACTTTATTGTACAGCACTTAGCAAAACACTACAACTTGGAATTTTGATACTACTACAAAAATAACAAACTAAACTAAACTAAACTGTTAGTGGATAATCAGTGCAGCTCTGCACTTAGTTTGCAGAGCTGTGGCTTGGGTGGTAGAGTGGGTCTACAAACTGAAGGGTCACTTGATCCCACGCTCTTCCAAGTCCAGAATGCATGAGACTTGCAGTAGAAACTCATTTGTTGAGCTTGAGTGCTCAACTTTGTGGAAAGGCACTATATAAGTACCGTTACAGTTAATTGTTGTTTTGATCATTTTCTGTCACCAGTTCCAGAAAGTTTCAATGCTGATAAAGGAGATGAAAATGATCGTGCTGGAATAAAAGTGCATCAGGCTTTTGCTAATGATGACATTTGGGTTGCTCTGAACATTTCACTACAAGAGCTAAAACGTAGCATTTCATGTTAGTCTCCCACACACCCAATGAAAAAGGGGAGCGGAGACACTCCTATTTGCTTGTTTCTCCTCAGGGTTCACTGGTCTTGATCAGACCCAGCTGTGGGTCAGAGATGTAGCTGTGGAGTCACACTGAGCTGCCCAGTAACACAACACCCTCCCTGCACCATGGACACACATACAACCTGGCCAAGTTTTGAAACCTGAGAGGGAAACTGAGGAAAAGAAAGAGGGGGCAATGCAGAGGGGAACACAGATGGATTGGGAATAATGTCCCGGACGGATGTAGAAGCAAGGAATGCACCTTCATATGTTTGTTTGCAGTGGAACAGCGCAGGGCTGGAGCCTGGTCACGATCTGGGTTGGGCAAGGAACAGGGGTGCATACACTGATTCTCTCTTTTCCAACAGTTATGGAGCTGAAACAACTCTTAGTACGTCCCCTCTAAAGAGCCGCTAGCTCAGGTATTTTAATATTTGGGTGTCATTTTTGTCCTTTTAGCCACCATTTAAACATACAATTAAAGGATGGACTCACAACGACAGTGTTATCCATCCCTCCCTTTAGGCAAATGCAGTGTATCATTTTGGTGCACATGCTAAAGTACTATCCACAACTTAGTAAGCGATCCTCTGTGAATCTGAAAAATACCCCAATTTGCTCTTCAAGACATCCACCTGAAATCTCTAGAATAAACATACAGCACAGAACAGCACAGGCAGAGTAATCTGCCCAGTTGTAGGTGACTGTGGGAGCTGGTCTGTTCCAGGACGAGCTCGGATTGCATGACTTGTATCAAACAGTCCTGCTAAGAGAACGACCTTGGACATGTGGAACGAACAGAGCAACAGTGACAGAAATAGATGGAGAGATGGATCCATCCTTTAAACACAATGCAGTGTGAACAGCTGTTAAAGTTCTGGTTCTGGTTCAAACCCCATGTTTGTATGTGAAGGGAATCTTGGGAGCTTAATGCAGAAAAAGCCTCCCGAAACAAGGGACAATTTATGTATAAAGTAAAATATGAAACCCCTCAAAAATCTGGAGTCACGTAGAAAACTCAGGGTTGTCCATTTTCAACCAAATCAAACTAAAAAAAAAAAGAAAACGGTTTGCTACAACAATGTGTCTTCCTCCCTCCACAAGTCACAACAAGCTAATCTTGTTGTGACACCATTGTTACAATTTAACAATGATGTCTCAGTTACCAGCAAAACATGGATACATCTATGTTTCTGCAAATGCAGTGACGTCTGACCTTTTTTAATTCCATGTTGTGTTGAGAGTGTTGCTGTGTTAGAGGGAGTACTGCACACTTTGGTATGAAATTTGATCTTTGCTTTTTTTCAAAAACAAAAACGGTTAAAGTACCCCAAAAACTTTAGCAAAAGTTTATTTTACCATTGTTATGTATAAATGGATTTATTAAAAAAAAAAAAAAAAAAAGATCTACCCCCAACAAAAACAAAGATGAGATCAAAACACTCACCCCTGTCTGCTGAGGACGTTCTGGGCCTGCTGCTCAATGAATAGGTCACCAGGAGACGCACCATGTTTAGGCGAGGAGAGCGAGGGGTGCCTGCCTTGCTTGGGTGAACTGGGTGGTATGCCAGTCACTGTGTAGTCTTTTGCAGGCACCTTAGCAGAGGAGGACGATGATGTCACATCCATGTATGAAGAGGAGGATGGAGGCTCAGGCGGAGCGGCCCTGCGCTGATTCTCCAGGTTCATCAGCCTCTCCCTCTCTGAGAACAACTCCACCCTGGTGTGACCAATATCACAGCCTGGGTCCGGGTAGCCGTGTGGCGGAGCTGAACGGCCTGCCCTTGGGCTAGTAGCTAAGGTACTGGTGTAAGCACTTAGGGTGATATCTCTGCCTTCCTCTCCCACCAGCTCCCCTCTATTACGCCTCTCTGAGCAGTCCGACTCTTTGTGAGAGCGGGGGTAGCGGGAGTGATGGTCCAAGTCGGGTTCCTGATCCAAAGAGATGCCGTAGCGTTCGGCCAGCTGCCGGCGCCGCTCTGCCTTGTAGCGGGCGATGCGTTCAGCCTTGGACTCCAACTCAGGAACACCTTTGGTCGGACCCGAAATGTGAACTGGCTCAGTGTGGATGAAGGACTGAGGCTCAGGCCTGCATCGAGCTCTGGACTGGCGCTCTGGAGCCATCAACTGCATTTCTGGGTTTTCAAATCCCTCCATGCCATAACGCTGAACGGTAACTGGTGCAAGAATAAACAAGTCATGTCTTTGTTGTGTAGAAAGAGACACGATAGTCTGTAGTACTGTTCTTGTCTCACCAGCACAGGGGTCAGAGGCCCTAGTGTATCGTGGAGTGTCCTCCTCCAGAAGCCGGTTGGCCACCAAGGTAGGCAGCAGAGACGGATGTACTTCACCCTCTATACCCTCCAAGCGCCGAGCAATGCGCTCCTTTCTAAGCACAGAAAGAAAGCGAAGAGTCATCTTTACACATTATTATCCTATGTACTATTATCTTTATTACTGTAGCATATTTATAGATGCATCATTATCTCACCTGTTCATTTCCAAGTCACTTGTGCTTGTGGTAATGCCCTCAAATAGTTTCCTCAATTCAGAGACTTAACAAAAATAAATAAATAAGCAATAAAATCAGTACAGAATAAGCAGATCTAATTAAATGTTTAATTGGTCTAAGACGACAAATTTTGGATAGATATTCACAGGAAATATTTGTAGACATGCTTTGGTAATGTGTAACATGAAAACATACCACTGAGCTCACATATACATATTATCATAAAATCTTAGTTTGATTAAATCATTGATGTTATATGTTTAATGTTTCTCAATCATTTCCAAAATACTATTTTCCCACTAATCGACACAGAAAATCTCACAATGTAGAAGCAAAACCAACTTACAATTTATGTTATTTAAATAAAAAAACAAACAAACAAACAAACAAACAGAAAAACCCTCCTAAGACCACTTGTTTAAAAGCCCTTATGAACTCGGATGCGTCTTACTTCTATCAGTGGTCCAAGCTGGTTTGAGTCCACCCGTGAATCAATAAAATTACAAAAGCACACCCACCCGTCTATATATAGACTATACAAGTCAATGTCAGCATAAAAACCAACAGGATCGTCTGCATCTTATAAGACAGGATTGCAACAAGGCCCAAAAACAGGAAAATTTCTAAAGGGGGAAAAATTCTCAAACCATCAACGATAAAAGCTGGGAAGCACCTAAATCTGGCTGCCCAGACTTTGGTTATTTAAAATCTTACCAGAATCTATAGCAACAACAATATAACAATTACCAAACACCAATGATCCCCATCTAATGGAGCAGAATGGCAGAAACCTCCAAAACAAAGGTTTGCCAAGTTTCAAGGATCGTTCTCAGGAAAGCTTCTGACATTTCACCATTTCACTTCAGAGATACTTCAGCCAAGCCAAAAACGTCTGCCTTTCATTTATTTACATAAAAAAAAGAAAAAACAAAGTTTTGCCTTTGTCACTGCAGAGCATTGTATTGTAAGAACTGCAGAGTAGGATGAAGCTGATCTGTGGAGTGATGGGTTCACCAAAGAAACAGCTGATTGTAATTATTGTAATTATTTGTCACAACATAAAAAGATGGATCCATCCACCCACTTCTGCTCCTCTAATCCAGGATCACTGCAGTTTCTCTGTACTTTATTTTTAAGAAAAGGTATATTTAAAATATTCAACACGTATTCTCTAGTGAATGAAGAAAAATCGAAAATCATATTCAAAATGTTTACTTTTGATTTGATTACTTACTATGTTACAAAAGTCCACAGAGTTTAGACATGAGTCAGTTTATAAACAGCTAATCAAAAGCGTCTTTAAACTGTTATGTGCACATTCCAGTGTGAACCGCTACAGGATCTTTATTAGAACTTACATTTTGCATTAAATAAACCCTGTCAAGAAAACAAGTGCAGCATAATAACAGCAGTTCATACGTAACATTTTGCAAAGCTGGGCCTTCTAGAAAAACTGGTTTTACACAAATCTTGACTTAATTCCAACCTGGCAAACAGGCTGCTGTTACACAACAGCAACTCTGAAAAACTGTGGGAACATTGACAACGTCAGAGTCTTTTTCAGCAAGAAATTAAAAAAAAAAAAAAGTTAAAAAAAGTAAATAAAAATCACTTCACTCACCTTTGGGGAGATTGGCTAAGAGACTAACATCTATATCCTTGGCGCTTTTGGCTGGGTCGTCCTTTTCGTCACAGGAGAATTCTTTCTGGAAGCTGAGGGGTGCAGAAAAAATACCAACTCTTATTGAAACAGGGCTGAGCTGTGGGAAACTGGATTTGTTTACATTGTAAGCAGTTGTGAGGGGCTCACTGAATCAATCTGAATTTGATCAAACACAAATCACTGAACTATTTGCTAGAAGCGTGGTCGGTTTGAGAGGTGGTCAAGAATCTAGTCAATCAGTCGGTGGATTGTGGATGAAGCTACAAAAGTATGCAATTAATCATCCGAACTGTGCATTTGGAAGTGAGACTGTAAATTTCATCAACCTCTCCATCACCCGTTAATACCCCGAGCCTCGCAGATATGCAGCAAATTTCTCTCTCTCAAAAAAAACAAAAAACCCCAAAAACAACATATTGAAATCATTTATGGATTTGATTCAAAACCACAAATTTGCAATAAAGCTATAAAAGAGCTGGCAGCAGATTACTGCTGTGAGGAAATAGTCAAGAACTGGGAAAACCCAACTCACTTGAACTCTGTGGCTGCTGTGGACAAAAACCACAAAGTTGTGAACACCCTAATACACGCGTGCATGGTGGATCCTTTCTCATCACAACACAGGAACATCTCTTTTCATCACTACTTCTTCATCTTTAGATATGCTCACCATGCATGCAAAGTGCTTTCAAAACAAAACAAAAATATTTTCAAAAAAATATTTTGGCACCAGATTTTGGGCATCGATGTGCCCAACAGTCTTATAAGTGTTGTGAAGGAAACTTTACAGATTAGAGTGTTAATAAGGAGGCCTGATGGTGTATTTGACAAACAGCCAACAACATTATTGAGCACAATCCTGCAAAGTTAGTTCCTCACCCATCTGAAGTACTGTCTTAATAAAGAAATTTACATTAAAGAGAATATTTTTTAATGTGATTCATGTATGAGGAAGAGAACACAGATGTGTATATGTGGAGCTCTGATCATAGAAAGAGAGAAAAAAGAGAGGAGAGGGACACAGGAGAGACCACTGCGAAGGTTGCTTCTTAGTTCTAGAATGAAAAGAAAATAACGTCTCTAAGAGAGCCAGAGCCACTTTGTTTATGTGCAGCAGTCTGTATCAGCAAGTGCGTGTATTGATGAACAAGTAAAGCAGTGTTGTGCAATGTCATTGTTCCTATTCTTTATTGTATAGCATGGGAAGAGTAAGCCAACAAAACATGGAAAAAGGAAAAAGACTATCCCGGTTGTGAGGTTGACTTACGGGGCTGGACTTGTAGTGAGAGGAACCCCTGATAACGGACAAGGTGCAACTCTTACAGTTCACTGTGCATTACCATCAGCAATTCAAAGTCACTACTCTGCATACAGCACCGTGCCTTGAGCTAAATTCTTCACTCTTTCTCGAGGCTTTTAAAGTGTTTCTTTGCACTTTGGTTTGCTTTTTCACTCATTTTCAGCCCAGTCCTTCTACACGACCATCGCAAAGGAATGCTTGTTTGAGCCATTTAACACTGACCCAAGAATCATTCAAGCATAAAATGGGACCCAATTTAAGGGATAACCAGTGTTGGGTCTACAGATAACAGACAACTTAAAGAACGAGCTTAAATGATTTATTTAGACAATTTGTTACCATTAGCCTGTGGCAAAAAAATCATTCTTTTTAATTTCGTGACCTGAATCTATGAAAATGTTCAAGATAGCACAAGCATAAAATAGCATTTTTGCAGGAACAAGGTGAGAGCTATTAGCTGAACACTTGACATATCCTAGCATGGTGTTGGTATGCCCTTTAAAAACAAGAAAAAGAAAATAAATCCAGCAAAGACCTAAAACAGGACCTGAGAGATGCATCTGGCCCTTTCACTTCCACTTCACTGTTCAGTGAAATCTCAGGCATGGCTGTCAAAAAAAAAAACGCTCTTAAGGAAGGGAAACAGGAAGGAAAGGCTGAGGTATGCCAAACTATACAAGGACTGGATTGAAAACCTGCGGCAACTGATGAATACAAATTTGAAATTTTAGGTTTTAATTTTAGGTGATTAGAAATGGCTTCAATTTTCAGCATTACAATGATCCGAAACACATGACATACCTGACACAAGGAAACACTATCAGTCATGGATTTGAGCTCCCCTGTTTGCCTGTTTGCTACATTTGTAAATAGCACTTTTACTTTTTAAAGGTCTTTTTGCACATCTTACCTCAATGCTCTCTTCTGTAGCAATCTGGGATTGCTTAGTTTAATGGGGTTCTCACTCCCAATTCCTGTGGACAGAAGAAAAGAGTAACATTTATTCATGTTCCACTGTCCATTAATTTCACTTTGAACCCGGGGTTGTGTCTTCAGATGAACAGATGATCAGAGCAGCTTAGGCATGTTAACGTGAAGCAGCTCTCTCTGCATTCATATTCAGACACACTGTCTCCTTCTTAAGCATCAGTCTATGTGTTGTGCATGAGGTCATACATCAGAGCGTTTGACGGCCTGTGTACAGTGCAGTTTCACCACACATCAAAGTTGCAGTGCAGATGGGATCATTGTCACTGGGTAGCATTTCTACACTGCACCCTCCAAGAATACAGAGAGCACAGATAGTTTCCTCAGCCCTCAGAAGCATACTGTGTGATAAAACCTAATTACATACACAATCCAACTTTCTACAGTCTGGTGTGTATTAGGAAGAAAAATCAAGTCGGTAAACACGGGAACAATGTGGTATAAACGCCCATCCCACCAAAATGGGGCATTCGTGGGTATTAAACATCACAACAGTCTCATGAGGAACCCAAGTTGTGCAACACATCCCTGTAGGGAACATCTATGCTTGCTATTTGCTCTAAACCTCAAACGTGCGGTTCTGGCTGCACTTGGACCTCTGAGTAGCCAGAGCTGTGCAATTTCGGGAGAAACATGTGGTCCCACTTCCATCCCCTCAGAGTTCACCTCAAGGTCAAATCCCCCCCCATTAAACTTGCCCACTGCTCCACCCAAACCCCTAACATCTCCCCAGTGGCTACCCACCCCAAACTAACCCCCGCCCCTCCTTTCCCCATTCCAGATCTGTTAGTCCCTGTTAAAGATGTTTGGGTTGATGCTTTCAATCCCTCCTACTTAAGCAAAACATCATCTGAGACATTTGAGAAGAAAGGAGGCCTATTTGGAGAAGGTGGTGTGCGGGTATGGGTTTAGGGGTAGTTGAGTATTGTTTCAGCTGGATGGAATAGGGCTGCTGAAAAACACTGAGCCTTGAATGATAATCTTATTCATCAGAGTTGACTGCGTTTTCTTTTGACCAGAGTCCAAAAGATTAAGTCAACATCATTCAAGCAGGTATAAAGTCTCTTTACTGATCACACATAGATGAAGTTAGAAACAGATTTTAAGTTGCAATTAAGCTTGTATCATCTTTGGCAGTAACAGACTTTTGAACATCTAATTTTTGAGACCAGCAAAAGGTTGAGGAAGCTATTATTTCTTGATATTTCTGTGATATCATCTCAGACAGATTAAGGTCAGGACTAGGTCATTTTTTTTTCTTAATTTAGTTGTGCTCTTTGGGTCAAAGTGTTTTCATCATTCCATTTTTCCCCCGAGATTCAGATCTAGAACTGATATCCTGGTTTTCTCCTGTAAAAAGCTGAATCCATTGCTCCCTCATGACTACGATGCTCCCTCCACCGTGCTTCACACTTGAAACGGTGAGGCATTCGGTGGTCAGAGAAGCTAGTAGTGTTCGGTGGTTTCCTCCTTTCAAACAGTATTTTTTTTTAAAGCTTAGCTATATGTCTAATTCATCTTGTATATGTTTTTTGGTACAAAAAAAACCAAACATATACAACAATAACACTATTATTCAGTATTTTTTAAATTACAGTTGTTGAGATTTCCATTAGCAATAGAAAATGAGACAGTCCTGAATTAAACTTCTCACAACTTTGAGTTAAAGTGGCGATCGTGGCTCAAGAGTTGGGAGTTCGCCTTGTAATCGGAAGGTTGCCGGTTCGAGCCCCGGCTCGGACAGTCTCGGTCGTTGTGTCCTTGGGCAAGACACTTCACCTACCGCCTACTGGTGGTGGCCAGAAGGGCCGATGGCGCGATATGGCAGCCTCGCTTCTGTCAGTCTCCCCCAGGGCAGCTGTGGCTACAACTGTAGCTTGCCTCCACCAGTGTATGACTGGGTGTGTAAAGCGCTTTGGGGGGACTAGTAAAAGCGCTATACAAATACAGGCCATTTAAAGCTATAAATAAATGCAATAGGGTGTTATCTGCACAATGGAATGACCACTATTGACCAAATGTCAGCTACAAAGCAATACGCGATATTGATGATACATGAAGCAGTATCACTTAACATGTGGATGACTTTACAAATGTAGCCTTCTTTAAACAAGTAGTGTTGAATATTAGACTGCTGTACTGGAGGGCAGCCTTCCAGCTCTGGTCCAGATGCCAAACTAAACAAGTGAAGGCTAGGTTGAGCTCCACACACCACAGCTAACAGCCATGGTGGAGACAATTGAGGTGAAGTGAAAGACAACATTTATCCAGAGCTAACAATTACAACTCCTCATAATTTAAGTGAAATCGAAACCTTTGTTATTGGTAAAAAGCCAACGTGTGTCTTATATCCCACTGCTTGTTCAAGAAGCATAAATAAGGAAAGAAAGTGATCGTTTACCCTTTCTCCACAACTAATGCTATCTATTACATAACCATACTAAATTGATACAAATTGTTGGGTGTCTGAATACAGACTGCCACGGCCACAGCAACCACAAGATTACTTTAAAAACATCCACAATATTGTATCGCCATTTCATCTTTCTGTACTGTGATACCCACATGGAGCCATGAATGTCAGGTTAAAGGAGGTGAAGTCTGATGAAATCTAAAGATGTCTAATGCTGTTAATTTAATGAGTAAACTGGAAATACATGAGAATAAAGGAGTTAATTTACTAACATTTGGATAAGAAATAATAATAAAAATAAATAATCAGGCTTGTTCGAAGGCATTTTTGAGGCTCAAAATGTGGTTTTAGTGCCAGGGCTACAGTTGGGTTATGGTTAGGTATAAGGTAAGGGTCAGACATTAATTTTTCATGGCTAGAGTAAGCCGTTAGAGAAAGCATTGTCAATTAGATGTCCTCACTAAGATATGAAAGTGTGTGTGTGTGTGTGTGTGTTATGAACCACACCAGTTTCAGTACTCGTCCACCTTACCCCAATTGTTCTTGGCATCATTCATGCTTTTCAGATGTCTATAATGTAAGTGGTCAGTGGATTTAAATGTTTAGGAATAACAAAACTGAAAAATATCTTAATTTCCATTTAAATTATAGTGTGAAACAAAACCAGATGTAAAGTTTAACTAGCTGCTTTTGCAAAAAATAACCCGCACCTTCTTACCCTTGGGGGCAGCAGTCTTATGCTATTGTGAAGTCTCAGACTTAATTCTTCACAAACCAGACCTGTACTCCTTTTACACCTCATATACTCTATATGTTGTGGCATGTGGTCCATCAGGAGTGACACCACCCTCCACCACCATCCCCACGGTTCCCAGAAAGGGCCTCAATTCATTCGTCATTCCAGACACAGGCATAAAAACCTCCACAAAGATCACAGATGTCGCACAGCCTTTGATGCTGGCTGTAATCTACAGAAACACTATGGCTGCTATAGCCACAAGGGAATACGCCAGGAATTCCTCAGCACTGTGCCCCGTGTGTGTCGACGAGGCTGTAAAGGCAGCTTGATGCTGATAAAACATGAGGATAAAATCATTTCACGATCCAGTGGAGTGTCATTGAGGTTCTGAAGTGTACAAGCCTTTTATGTGATGGTATCAAAGGTTGTTGTATAACACTGTCTGTTAACAAAGAAGCTAAGTTAACTCTGGGAAGGCTCTGATAAACTTGACAGTAACATGAGGCTAAAGCTCCATGTCTTAACCCACAATACACCCAGTGTGGCAGCCAAAGAGGCATCAGTGGCTGACCATATGTCTAATTTACGATCCAGGATTAACTTGGATTCCTGGGATTACAGCAGGCCCAAAAGTAACCACCCTTTATCTGTATGAATTACATCACACCTGAAGTGCCTGACATTTAAGTCTCAACACCCCCCCACCAATTTTCCAGTTGCCCACCGATTCTGTGTGCTGGGAGGCTCAAGCTGCAACTAAAGCCTCCACACTAACAGGAGCTTAAGAATTAAGGCATTGAGGGAAAAAAAACAGATGGAGAGACAGAAATTAGGTGAGGCCACTGCTACCAAACAGTGCCACAATAAGCCAATTAGGTCTTAAACACTAGTATTAATGGTTATAAAAGCAGTTCAGCTGCAAAGTCTGAATGAAAGCGTACTTCTACAACCTAAACTCCTCAAACAAGCTTCAAAGCACATCCTCCTCCGAACAACACAAGACTATTCTGTATGCTCACATAAAAGCCTGACTCTGAGGGCCACCTGCTGCAGATTCACATCCATCTTAACACAGACAAGCAGATCTAAACACTCAGGTGTCAGTTAGAAAATATAATGAGATGCATTCAGACAAACACAGGTATCAACTAGTGGCCAATCAGTGGATGTATAAACAGGGGTGAAGGAAAGAATGTAAAAACTGTAACGTAGACCTCAACTGATAATATTAATCTGTGATGCCACATTGTCTCTAATGCTGCGTACTGACAGGTACAAACATGTCAGTACTTCTCACATGTTTGCACCTGTCAGGATGTCAGCCAGTGCTTCTGATATACACAATATGACATTTATATATTACAAAGACATGAATAATTGGGTCATTTAGAGCAGTAGACCAAGCTTTGCGTTCTATTCAAACCTTTCGAATTCAAAATTGTTGATTAATGATTGACATGAAATCATTCATTGCTGCTAAAGTTTGTCTTTAAATACCATCGTTCTGCAGTTTAAAGTCCATGATACAAGTTTTAAGGAGGTTGTAGTTTTGAAATGGCTTTTCACTGAAGGCTGTTCTTGTCCAGTTCACAAATTTCGTCTGAAAGAGCTAACCTTAAACAAGAAACTCAAGTTGAGCAGTGAAGTTGCAGTGTGCCCTCTGTTGGTCAACCTATGCAATGACCCTTTCATTTTTCAGCTTTTATAAATGACAATACTGACAGATCAGACACTACTAGCTTCTCTGACAATTCGCTGTTATAAATGAAGGACATGTGTAGTGAAAACATTTAGTCAAATAAATTGTGTCAAGTACAAAAATATGTTGAAAGTAGATATTTCTGCAACACCCCATGTCTTGCGTAAAAATAGTTACTTTGTCCTGATTACCAGGTTCTCCTTTTTTCCCTGCACATGGAGACCGTCTTTAACAGCTTACTGAGCTCAGCTATTCACTGCTCTCTTATGACACAGTGCTTAAGTGCTGTGCAACAGATCATATCCATACAGCATCTCTGTGTCTATCTCTCTATATCTATCTATATCCATCTCTATCTATATCTATCTCTGTATCTAGACTGAAAAAAAAGAAAAACTACTGAATACTCCTAATGACCCAAATGTTCCAAAGTCAGTAAATTTTGTTTAATTCAGTGCAAAACCATATACACCTTCACAACACATCCATAAAACTACTTCTTCAAACGTCCAAGTACCTATTTAGCCTTGAAATAGCTCCCTACATAAAACAGCCCCCTGCAGTATTAAGAATCCCTCATCTTTACATAGTGTCCTTGGAGGCTACAGCTGCAGTGCAAGGACAGCTGGCTGGAAAGCAGGACAGTGAGCAGAGAGGAAGGGAGTCTGCGGTTTGTTGCCTGCCAACTTCTACGAGCTTAGAGTCCCAACAGCCCAAACCAGAGTAACCTGTCCCCAAGCTCTCTGCCTGAGCTACAAAATCTGAGCTGCAGAGCCCTAAGTCACTGCACTTACCTTGGCTGCAGAACTTGACGTGACTCAGGTAATTCGAGATCCATGGATTCCGGTACATTTTGGCAACAGAGTCAGGTGAGAGTTTAAGACAGAAAAGAAGTGAAAGACACGGGAAGACAGAACAGCTGACCGAGAAGTGATGCAGCTACAAAAGTACTCCGTCAGTGCCCCGGGACAGGCAGAGAGGGAGGGAGAGGTGAGTCAGGTAGTATTAGAGAGAAGCAGGATAGAGGGAGGGAGGGGGAGAGAGAAAGATGTCCCAGCCGCAGTACCAGCATAAGCAGTGGTGGTCCTGACAGGCAAACAGAGGAGTGCTCAAGCTTTTGCTGCACTACACCTCTTCTCAGATTCACTCCTCTGCTCTGGCTCCTCTCACCAACCAATGTGGACTAACCGGTGCCCGCAATAACAACAACCTGCAGGTCTAAAAGCTGCTCAGCATGGGCTAAGCTCATTAGCCAAGGGAGCAAAATTAGGCCCCTTCTCTACTGCAGACTGGAGCAAAGTGTCCTGCATGCTTCAGAGTGAGCCTCAGAGAAGAGAATGAGAGAGAGAGAAAAAAAAAACTGTGCATGCACGAGAGAGAGAGATAGTTATGCGAGTCCCACGAGAGCACTGCCTTCCCTTGGCTCACACACTCGAGTGGGATGCCAAAGAAACCGGTGCAGAGCGTCAGAAAAGGGAGGGAAGAGAAATAGTGCGGGGTCTGGAGAACGAGAGTGGAAATAATGAGGGCAGGAAGAGAAGACGAGAAAGTTCAAATGACCCTCTCAGTCTGATGAGAAATTCCAGTCATCTCTCAGCAGGGACAAAATAAAAGGAACAGCATGGAGCTAGGCAGAAAAAAAAAGGTGGGAAGGGCAAAGAGAAGGTACGAAAGAAAGAGCGAAACAAAGTCAGGAAAAGAACGAAGGAGCGTGCGAAGCTGTAATGGGGGAAACAGAAATGTGTCTGCTCGTGAATAATGTTACCATTACACCAACAGTTTGCTTCTTCCTAGAACAACTAATAAGAGGTGCAAGGGGAAGAGAACTAGGTTGATTTATTGATATCCCCACAATTCTCCTTTTAACACACTAATCAAACGTGTTTGTGTGACTCAAGCCCACATAAACCAATGTTACACAGTGAGTCATGGCATGTGGAAACCCATTCTATTCTATTGTATGAATATGCTTTACGTGATTGCCAAGAACAAGACAAATGTGCTTGCACACTCACACCTCACCTATACGTCAATGTGACAACGACATGCTTATCACAGTAGTGAGAGGGCACTACAGGGAGGCTGGCACAGTGCCTGATGGTGCCTTTAAGAAGATACTGTGGGGGAAAAAAGTGATGCATCTTATCTTTCTGCAGCACACAGAGAGAAAGCTGTCAGCACCAAACACACAGCAGTCAACATAAAGCAGATCTTTTGGATGGAACCAGCCACAAATGTCAGTTTCTCAATTCAGTGGCTGAAAGGTGACAAAGGGGGGGAAAAAATAAAAACCACCTTCTTTAAAATATATGCATCTCAATGGAGCTCTTTCAAACTTCCTGCAAATCTAAACTAGGTTATTGGACTGTATCGAAAGCACAAACATGCATCCAGGATATCACATCATAACATTTGTCAAAGAACATAAATCAGTGTTTTTCCACCACCTTGGACTATAAAGGTGTGCTAAGATGTAACAGGACTGTCTGACGATGGTGTGTAAACTGTAGAGGTGGCATGTCTGGATCCCTCTCCAGGATGAGCTCATCTGGCTCAGCGTGTGAGTGGCGCACATGCACACATCCATCACAGAGCTGCCAGTTCACACCGTGGCTGAGTGGGTGGAGGAAGCGCTACCTGCACGCAACGCTCAAAGTGTTACTTTCAATGTCAGTGGTTTCGCAGACTGACAGACAACTGATGCAGTGTATTCATAAAATGAATGAGTTTGCATATAAGTGAATTCTACCTAAGGAGATAAAGGAGCTAGAGGACACCGATACTATCAGCCAAAGCTGGCCATTAGCCGATCTTTAGCTACTGATAATCACAACTGCTGATAAATAGGAATTTCAAAACGCAAGAAACACCCATCGACAATATTATGAGTGTTGCTGTTTAACTAGAGGCCACTCTGCAACTTCCCTGTTCAAGTGAGATTTCAGGTCCTAAGTTTCAATTAACCCTCAGCTCTCTGCCTTTTACATATCAGTGGGCCTTTCATTCACTCTCAAAGCTTTGACATGGCATGACCAAAAATGCCTACTTTCAGTAACAGGGTATGAAGGCTGGAGATATACTTTAGATAAACTATGCAATGATTCGTGCTGAAAAACAAATGATTTGAGCATCAATGGTCTGAGGATGTGCTGAGGATGTTTTTATCAGAACAATACGTTAACAGAAGCATCGTCTTTTAGTCTCATCCACTCACTGTGGGTCTGCTTACAGCATCAGGCAGTTATCCGTTTCCATCCACCATTCAGCGTTTACAAATGCGTGCAACCAAAGCCTGCTTAAATCTGATTAATCACCAATATCCCTCAATATTGTCCTTGCCTACAGTCTCTGTATGTTCATATCCGTTTACAGAAGTTAAGGTCAGAGGGTTTGAATAATTAACCAAAATCCTCTTTAAGCAACTTCTCAATAAATTGTTGAAAACATGCAGAAATAAATTTAATTTGCACTTTTAATTTAAGTCAACCAGCCTCTTTAATTATGTTCATTTAGCCATTTGTCGTCCTTGGAGGCTACAGCTGCAGTGCAAGGACAGC